TGTCTGGCTGCAGCGCATGCGGGAACGGCTCGAGGGGGGCGTCTGAGTGAAGCGCTCCGAAGGAGGCCTCAGCAACGCCGCTGCTGCTGCTGCTGCTGCTGCCAGCAGCAGCAGCAGCAGCAGCAGCATCTGTCTCAGGCTCAAGAGACTCCAGTAGCACATCCACCGGCTGCCCCCTGGCGTCTGTGCTGAAGAACTCCGGCAGCTCGAAGCGCTGAGCAAACAAAACAAGCAGCAGCAGCAGCAGCAGCAACCGCGTTCATCACACACTGCTGCTGCTGCAGCTGCTGCTGCAGCTGCTGCTGCAGCAGCTTCTGCTGCGGGTGTTGCTGCTGCAGCTGTTGCTCCTGCTGCTGCTGCTGCAGAGGGGCAGTAAGAAACGTTTTTTTCAGTCAAGAGCTAACAAATGGATGCATGCATCAGCAGCAACAGCAGCAGCAGCAAGCACACACACGCAGCAGCAGCAGCAAGCGGGAAGCAGCAACAGCAGCAGCAGCATTACCTGGTGTTGTATTTCGTCTACATGGTGTGCATATGATGTGGGTATGTGTCTGTTGTGTTGCTCCGTCTGCTGCTGCTGCTGCTGCTGCTGCAGCTGCTGCTGCTGCTGCTGCTGCTTCTGTCGCTCGAATTCCTTATACTGCGCCTCATTGGGCTGCCAGTCATCCCCTGAGCGCAGCAAACAGCAGCAAACAATAAACCCCTCAACAGAAGCAAAAACACACAAGCTGCTGCAGCTGCTGCTGCAGCTGCTGCTGCAGCACATGATACAGTACCTGCTACAGAAGCTACTGTGGGTGCTGCTGCAGGATCTGGTGCTGCTGCTGCTGCTGTTGCTCCTGCTGCTGCTGCTGCAGCAGTTGCTGCAGCTCACCGATGGGGTTGTCAACAGCAAACGTTTCATCGTTGTGTGCATCTGCTGCTGCTGCNGTTGCTGCAGCTCACCGATGGGGTTGTCAACAGCAAACGTTTCATCGTTGTGTGCATCTGCTGCTGCTGCTTCCGCGCTGCTCTGACTAAAACTGAAGCCCCCACGGCTGCTAGCTTCCCCCCTCGGTCCGCCTCTCCGCCTGCCTTTGCTGCTGAACCTCCTCATCCTCAGAGCTGCAGCAACGGCTGCTGCTGCTGCTGCTGCTGCTGCTGCTGCGAAGCTGCCGTCCGTGTCTCCACACCACCAGCAGCAGCATCAGCGCACGCACCAGCAGCAGCAACTCACGCTGCGCTGCAGCCGCCTCGGCTGCTGCAGCAGCTGCAGCAGCAGCTTCTCCCAGTACACTGGGTCAACAGGTACTGCAGCAACAGACGCTGCTGTCACCCCAGCAGCAGCAATAGCAGCAGCAGCTGCTGCTGCTGCTACCGACAAGGGAAGCAGCAGCCCGCTGCTGCGGCGGCAGAGAAGCCTCAGCTGTCTGTTTATTCTGTTGTTGTGAAGCTTTTGAGTAAAAGTAAAGTTTGTTTAAAGTCTTTCAATAAGTATACAACAGCCCCTGGCCCCGAAGCCACGCAGAAAAAAGANAGAAATCGGTAGAGAGGGAGGCATGCAGGGAGAGGCGCTGGCGGGGTGTCTATACACCTCAATGCTGCAACTGTTTTCCTGAGAGAATACAATGCATAAAGGAAATGTAAAAACGAGCAAAAAAACCCAAAAGGCACAGCAGCAGCAGCAAGAGCTGCTGCTGCTCGCTCGGCCGTCCGCTGCTGCAGGTCTGTTTTCTTCTCCTCTTTGCAGTGGGCAATATAATGTCTTTATGTGAGTTATGTATTTGTTTTCAACATTAGTTTGGGTTTTTTTCTCTTTTTGGGCCTGAAAATACTCCAATTCCATTAACGAACCTCCGAGGGCTGGCGCGGGGCTGATGCTGCTGCTGCTGGCTGTGCTGCTGCTGCTGCTGCTGCTGCATTGTACGCATGTGCTTGTCTTTGTTCTGCTTCTCCTCATCTCAGTCTTTAAACCCATTACTTATAAATGCAAAACAAGAGGAGAGCTGTGTTGCAGCAGCTATAGCTATTGCCGTTTCTGCGCTGTGGGTGTTGTGTTGCTGGCGTGCATCTGCTGCTGCTGGTGTTGCTGCTGCTGGTGTTGCTGCTGCTGCAGGCATATATTCCATGCATAGTTGGCGTTATTCCCTTTGCCTTCAGCTGTTGCATGCGGTCAACCAGTGCTGCTCCGCGCAGCAGCCACCAGCAGCAGCCTTCATTCGAACCCCTGCGTGCTTGCTGCTGCTACAGTACAGAGCAGCACCGCCGTGAGCTGCAGCATAGCCAGGACACTCAGTGNTTGCTGCTGCTACAGTACAGAGCAGCACCGCCGTGAGCTGCAGCATAGCCAGGACACTCAGTGCAAGTTAGCTCCCCAGAGCAGCTGGCATTTCTCTCAGTTACCCCAGAGGCTCGGGGAGCAGCAACGGAGCAAGAGGTTGGGGGGCGGTGCGTTGCGGGGACGGCCAGTCATGAGTTGCAACACTCCTTGCAGCAGGCCTCCTTCGATGCAGTTTCAGATGCAAGCATAAGACTGAAGCCATATGCATTGCATGCGCTAGCACTGTAGGGAATTAGTAAACACTTACGTGGCCTTCAGGAGCTGCCCTGCATGCACCGAGGCACAGTCGTACTAGCGTCAGACACACCATGTAACCCCGCAGGAGGGAGGAGGGAGGATAAAGGGGGGGGAGAGGAGAGAAGGTACTGCGGATTAAAAACCCCAACAAAGGGTGGGAAAAAAGGAGTAACGAAGCCACCTAGCTCGACTTGGCGCGGATGCAGCTATTTGCGAATGTTCTATAACTCTTCTATGTAGTTTCTGATCAGTGAAATGTGGTCAATATCTTTTGCTTGCCCAGCGTATTGCTGCAGCATCCCATGCGGGGACGGGGAAATATAGTTCTGTTGTAGTGGTGGTGTAGCATTGTCGATGTGACGCTGGTTAGTGCATCCCCGCGTGCGGGCTGTGCACTGAGGGCCAAGGAATTGCTCAACAGTCATCTGTAGCGTTACTGCGTGCAACAATAGAGTTTGCTTCTGCATTCATGCGGGGTTGAATTGCAGCGCCAGTTGCAGCATAGCACGGTACAACCCGTGTCAGCTCGGCCCCTCTGCAGCTGCCACAGGCTCTTCGAGCTGCCCCATGCCGCGGGATAACAGGAGAGGAGGCCGTATGGTTTTTGGATGCTGTTATCTTCAGTATTTTGACTATATTGCATCTCTAGAGAGTCCTCTGGTAACAGCAACGACTCTCCTTACAGGGAGCCCGTCGTCCTGCTGCAGTAACTGTTGTTTCAGCTCTTGCTACCCCTCCCTCACTCGCTGCTCCTGTAGCATTTATTGGTGATGAATCGCTTTGTGCTGCACCGCTTGCTGTTGAGGCGCAGATATGCAGAAATATTGACTCTCTTCAGTGTGCCATCCTGGATCAGAATCTGCAGCTGCTACTCGCTTGCAGCGATGGCTGTTGGTAGTGAAGATGTTGCTGCAGCTGCTGTAGCAGCTGCTGCTAGTGTTGCTGCATCGATGGATGTAGTGGAGCCTTCTGCTCCTCAGGTCGCAGTGATGGGTCCTTCTGGTGCTGCTATTCTATTCGCCTGTCTCTCTTGTGGCTACCATGCATTCCCAACTTGCTAAGCAACAGGACCCAGGTCGAGCCCTTCACGGTTCTCATTGTCCCCTTGTGGCGACGAAAGGGATTGAGGTGACTGCCCCGATCAGAACGGAAGCTAGAGGTGGCTTTCCGAAAGGACGCAAGTGGAATCAGAAAAGGGGGGGGAGGAAAGAGACTGAGNGGAAGCTAGAGGTGGCTTTCCGAAAGGACGCAAGTGGAATCAGAAAAGGGGGGGGAGGAAAGAGACTGAGCTAAGAATGCATATGCAGCTTCCAGCAGCAAGCATAGCATGTGCATGCAGATAGCCGAGCGCAGCACAGCACAATTTGCATCTTTTGAGAGCTGCTCCTTGTTTTGGGAGAAGAGAATCGTTAACTACTGCTTACAAAGTGCTTGAAATTCTATGGAAGAAGCATGCCAGAACTGAATGCCATAGTTTCACTGACACCAGAAACAGCGCACCCCATGACAACTCAATGAAGCTTTCTTGTGCCGAACACACCAGCGTTCCTCCGGCTCCTCCTAATGCTATTGGAGTTATCGCCCAGTTGCATGAGCTGCCGCCGTTCTTTCCGTAGAACGGCGGCAGTTCTTTGCGTGGCTACTGAGCTGTCCCCTGCTGCGCTAGCCCCTGCGTGCCCTTGGTCCCGAGTCGCATGACTTTGTATTCGAAAAGGCCCAGTTTGCATCTAAAGGCTGTTTTTCAACTAACCTCTGGAGCCATCCCGGTATGATATATTTTCATATGTATTGCCAAATTGCATTACTCTGCACTACAGGCAACCTGAGACTGCATGGAAGTGTTTAACAGGGTTATGCGCACTACGCATGTGAGAAACTCCCCTTCAGAACGCAGCTTGCAGCTTGCAAGCAAGAAGAGTATGTCCAACATCGGACGTGTTATCGTACATATGTACTGTCACGGCTCCTCTAGCCCGCTGCTTTTATCATTTTACTNTGTTATAAGCCCGTGGCGCCACCGACAGGAGGGGCCGCTGGTAGGCAAGAGATGCCCTTATAACTGAAAAGGCACAGGTTAGGGGAAAACGTGACAATAATGTGAAGGCAGCTCCACTCGAGCCCTGCTGCTGATCTCGCCGTTTTGCTGCTGCTGCTGCCGCCAGCAGAGTCGACCGCTGCACGCGCCACCCCAGCAACAGAACTGGTATCAACTTGTCGTAGATTGAGAGCACCAACCGCAGCATCCGCTCCCGTTTCTGCTGATCGTGGTACTGCTTACGGGCAACCGGATAGTGGCCACCACGAAGAGACAGGGCGAAATAACATGCAAGAGCTGCTGCGGGCTGTGTAAGCAATTCGGAAGCTACAGGCGTACCGGAATGGTGGAGAACAACCAGGCGCAGCGTCGGGTCAGGCAATGGTGTAGGCTAGCGGAACTGGAGAAACTCCGGCAGAAGACTGAACGGTTATACTCCAAACCTGCTCCGGATAGAAAAGGAAATCAAGCCACTACGATTATTTTTGCAAGATACAGGGTCGCAAGTACAGCGTACAGTTGGTGTGCTCCGCTCGATCAGACCGTCCGCGTGTTTCGCCGTTGTCAAGTTATGGCCAGCATTAAGCCGCTTCAAGAATTGGAGCCACGATCCGCTAACAGAGCTTCAGGTTAGCTCCCGTTAAGAGGCGGCTTGGGCCGGCGAGCGGGCCCAACCCGAAGGTCTGGGCCGGCAGAGAAAAGGTGGCGTGGCACGAGTTGCAACACATCCTGCTGCAACTCGTGTTGCAACGCATTTCCAAATACATGCACAAACAAGCCCTATTGCTGCATGCATTAACATTATAGACGAATGTTGAGCACTTACTTGGCCCTCTGGGGCTAGCCTGAACTCGCATAGGAATACACAGACATCACACCGACCATGCTACACTACCACCACCAGAAGTAGACTTTCGCGTCCCCTCATTGGCTGATGCGAAAAGGAGAGAATTTGCCAAGAAATGCAACGTACCTTGCTGTAACTCCTGCACCAGGGTAACCCTGCAAGCAGGCCTCCTTTATTCTGTGCACCGACACTGTGTACATCAGCAAAACACTCACTTCGCAGCGAGAAGC